CGGAGAGAGCCGAGGAGGGCCGAGATTGGCATTCTCCCTCCGCTGCCCGCCACAGCTGGGAAGAGTTTCCTCCACAGGGCAACCTTTTCCCAGAAACAGACTAAGAGAAGCACCGCGGGTTGTGCTTCCGTTACCCGAACCGTTATCCGAACCGTTATCCGAACCCTTTCCAACCGAAACTTCACTTTCCTTCGCAGGAAATGAAGGAAACCCGGGGAAGTTTCAGAAGTTTACATTAAAATTCGTCGACATTGGAATCCGAAGCGCGGGAAACCGGCAGTCCGTTTGCGGGGAAAGTTTCTGGAAAGCGGTGAAGCTCCATCCCGGGTGACGTCGGCTGCCGTTATGTCCGACACGGAGCGCTGACTGAGCGGACTGCGGACGGATCGACCTGCCGCCGCTGGAGCGCGCTCCAGCTCAGTGACGTCACGAGCTGGAGGCGGGGCTAAATCACACACGCTCTCATGGGTATGGCAAGCTAATTTAACATTTAATGGCCAGACTTGAACATGTACTGTCCTTTGGAAAAAGTAACATTTGAGATTTTATAACATTAATATTCTCAACAAACTCAATAAATGTTTACATAGCTGATGGTATTCAAACAATTATTTGCGATGATTTTAAAGTACAAACACAAAAAGAACGGCTGCAGAGGATTAACGAAGGATTTAATTTTAATGAAGGAGATATTAGATAAGCTGATTAAAAAAATAAAATAATAAATATAATTGATAAACTGACTACTTTGTTGTTTGTAAATTTTAGAAATATTATGGGCTAAAACATTTACACCTCATTCCATTCGGAAATTCATTAAATATTTTTTTAATTATTAAAAATGAAAATTCAAATGTATAAATAAAAGTATCACATTTGTGCATTTAGTCAACAGGACAACTTCAATCCATATCTTGCTTAAAATCTTGCTTAAAATATTTATTGAAATGAAGACGATCTAATTTAACCCACAAAGCTGAAGTTGATTAGTTTGAACATGGAAACCAATAATCAGATTGTTCTGTTTCTTTATTTTCTAACAATAAGGCCGTCTCCTGCTGCAGCAGATTTCAGGTTAGCACTCAGAATGTCATCAGTGTTGGGGAAGTTATGAAGGAAATTGATATATATCAGTGTTGGACAAAATAACAATTCATTTAAAGAGAAAATGAATTATTTTCTGATTTGTGTTTTAGTCATTTAGTTGTTCATAGTAGATTAAGATTAAAATCAAAATGTGAAATGTTATCGCAAAATGTTTTGGATTTCTACTCAAGTTATGGATATGAAAAAACAGTTATAATATGGTCAAGCAGCTGAATTATTGTTTTCAATCCATCTTCCTCACATTTATCTCCTTTAATATTTAATAAAAACTATATATCACAGTGTCAGTGCATGTATCCAGATAAAAATGAAACAACAGAAAATAAAAAGCTCTTTTTTTTGATTGCATATATTTGATCAGAGAAGGTAAAAATCTATAATTGCTTCTGCAGTTTTAACGGATTTCTGCACCGACATCGCCACCTGGTGGCAGACATGTTCATCACAGCTGCAGTGGCTGCATTACTTTAGTTTCTCCTGCAAGATTTTATATTGACACAACAATAAACGGATCAGCTGCGGGTTATAATTTAATCACGGAGGTTTTGGTGCAAATCCTGGAATTCCAGGACGGTTTGGAAAACCTTGACTAAAGCTGAACCGTTTTCTCGACGTAGAAGAACAAAAAACTTTAATGAAAAATAAATACTCTTGTAAAAGTAAAGTACAGGTTGGACTGGTTTACTCAAGTAAAAGTAAAAAGCTGGAGGAGGAAGAGGAAGAGGAAGAGGAGGAGGAGGAGGAGGAGAAAAAATGAGGAAGAGGAAGAGGAGGAGAAGGACAAAAAGAGGAAGAGAAGGAGGAGAAGAAGAGTTTCAGTGACTGATGTTATGAGTTAAATCATTAGCAGCTCCACCTGCAGCGTTTCCTCTGTGTGAGAGTTGTGGTGCAACAGGGTGTGAGGCGGATGTTTCTACCTGCAGCTGCTGTGTGTGTGTCTCTGTGTGTGTCTCTGTGTGTGTGTCTGTGTGTGTGTGTCTGTGTGTGTGTCTGTGTGTGTGTCTGTGTGTGTCTCTGTGTGTGTCTCTGTGTGTGTCTGTGTGTGTGTCTCTGTGTGTGTGTCTGTGTGTGTCTGTGTGTGTCTCTGTGTGTGTGTCTGTGTGTGTGTCTGTGTGTGTGTCTGTGTGTGTGTGTCTGTGTGTGTCTCTGTGTGTGTCTCTGTGTGTGTCTGTGTGTGTCTCTGTGTGTGTGTCTCTGTGTGTGTCTGTGTGTGTCTCTGTGTGTCTGTGTGTGTCTCTGTGTGTGTCTGTGTGTGTCTCTGTGTGTGTGTCTGTGTGTGTCTGTGTGTGTGTCTCTGGTGTGTGTGTCTGTGTGTGTCTCTGTGTGTGTCTGTGTGTGTGTCTCTGTGTGTGTGTCTCTGTGTGTGTCTGTGTGTGTGTCTGTGTGTGTGTCTCTGTGTGTGTCTGTGTGTGTCTCTGTGTGTGTCTGTGTGTGTCTCTGTGTGTGTGTGTGAGCGGTTTGGAGATTCGGGTCAGCGCTCGCTGCCTCTCTTTCCTGGAACCGCCTCGCAGCCTGCAGGATGCAGCAGCTCAGGTTCTTTCTATGACTGGAACATTTTTGTCTGATTTAAAGTTGGTGAAAAATTCTTCAGTTAATGTGAAATGAAATGCTAGCAGAGATTTTAAACCAAACGTCTGAGTGAAGACGTCATCATCTGACCAACTGCCGTTTATCTGAGCGGCTCCAGCAGAAACGTCTCCTCCAGTCAAATCGACATTTTATTCAGAATCAGTAAATATTTCTGCTTCTTTCCTGTTTCTAATCATATTTATTCATGCTGGCTTTAGCTAATTGCTAAAATGTTTTCTGGAGAGAAACTCGACTTTTTCCACTGAGTCACAGTTTATTTTCCCAATTTTCACATTAAATTTTATAAGAATAAAAGTTTGTGAGTCTGAAGGGTCATTTTCTCTTATGCTTCCATCTTAAAACTGTTTATTAGTGAAACATAATTTCTTATCTTAAGTCATAGGTGTCAAACTCTGGCCCGCGGGCCAAATATGGCCCGCAGTGTAATTATATTTGGCCCGCGAGGCAATTTCAAATTAATATTAGACATTTATGTCAGAAAGGAGGCATTAAATGTTTATTTACATTTTATTTAATATATTTAATATTTTATTTCATATATTAAATATGTTTTATTTAATATTTTATTATTAGCAACTCATTTTTGCACACCTGCACTTTTAAGTTAGATAAGCTTTGCTTGTTCAATATTTATTGTTATATTAGAACTTGTTTGGGTCCGTATTAAAATATTCATTTGTTCAACCTTGGCCCGCGACTTTGTTCAATTTAAAGTTTTGACCCACTGTGTATTTGAGTTTGACACCCCTGTCTTAAGTCGTTAACATAAAACTTTCTCCTGGTTCTCAAACCTCCGGTTGGTTCTGGTTCTGGTTCTGGTTCTGGTTCTGGTTGTGGCTCTGGTTCTGGTTCTGGTTCTGGCTCTGGCTCTGGTTCTGGTTCTGGTTCTGGTTCTGGTTCTGGTTCTGCTGGAGGTTTCTTCCTGTTGGAGGGAAGTTTTGCTCTCCACTGTCGCCACATGCATGGGACACAGCACACATGACGGAGTCGATCTAATCGCTGCTCTGGCTTCAGGCTGATAACTAATTACACTGTTTTATATAGTTTTTACCTTTAAATAAAATATTTTACTTCTAAAATCTTTTTCTTCCTATATTGATCATTTGATAAGAACATGATTCATCAGTTTGATTTTGCTGTTTCATGGTCCAGGATGTCATTTCTGATTCTGTTTTCATATTTTTATGTGAATCTAAATGTCTGTTTGCTGCTCCTGAATTTCTCCACAGTGGGACAATAAATATGAATTATTATTATTTCTGAGCTGTTTTTATTGATGCTTTTGAAACTAAACATTGATTCTTCTGAATCCAAATGTTGCTGCTTTTTCTTATCTTGAATTTAAATGAAAATAGAGAAAACTGAGAAGCTTTATAAGTTTTCGAATTAATCCTGTATGATAATCAAATGTTTGTTATTCAGAGTCGATCAGTGCCGGAAGATGAACTTTCATTATTTCCAGTTTCAGTTAATAGTCTGTTGGTTTCAGCAGCGCAGCAACAAAATGCTGCTGGTTCGGTTCTGGATCAGAGAAAACGTTCATTTTACTGACTTAAAGATTAAATAATGTTCATTTCTGACTCAACAGACATAAACATTTAGCTCATGTCTGAAATTACTGCAAACATTAATAAAGACTTTTTCCATGTTTTAGCTTTTTGCAGGTAAATTTTTACTTCACGTTTTTCCCACAAACTATAAGAATCATCCTGGAGTTATGGATAATATTTCCTGTATAGCTGCAGTGAGCATCAGGATTTGCTGACATCCTGTACAATGAAACAAGTGCTGATACATTCAGATCATTTCAGCTGATAATTAGTTCAACTTTTTTACTCTAACAAAATAAAATAAATAAGAAATAATTCCTGATCTTAATCTGAGTTTTGATGCCCAGGAGGATGTTTGAATATTAATAAAGTTGGGAAAGTTTCTGCAGGCCACTCAGATGAGCAGCTGCAACTTCTGATAAACAAAAGATGCCTGCCACACTTTAAAGTTTATTTTTGCCTTGCAGCATTGAAGTCTTCATGCAGTTTGTATTTTCTCCCGGTGCATGCTGGGATCTTTGCGTCATCTCATTTCTCCGTTTCCTAATTATTTTAGCTGATTAAATCAGTAATTGTTTACCTTAAACTGCGACCTGTTGATGATGCGCATTTATTGCATTTATTACGTTGTTTATTAAATTTGTTGTTTATTAAATATTGAAGTGTAAATAGTAATAAAGTGGCGGTGAGTCCAGCAGGGGGCGCTGCGCTGTCAGTCCGCAGCTCCATCTTTTCTGAATCTATATTTTCATTTCAGACGGAAGTTGATTTATTTAGCGGCTGTTTCATGCAGCCTGAGCATCTCAAGCACTGCGCTCCTTCATCTGCGACTGGCCGCCTGGACACCCTCATCATCATCACCCTCATCCCCAGCAGCAGCAGCAGCAGCAGCTCCAGCAGCAGCAGCTCCAGCTGCAGCAGCGTCCTCCGGGCTGCGGCTCTCCAGTTCCCCTCGCCGCGCATGATGCCGCCGCGCTGCCGCCCAGCGGGGACCGTCTGCCGGGTTTAGGATCTCCGCGGCTCTTCAGCAGCAGGAAGAGAAGAGAAAAGGTAAAAACTGCTGAAAAACTGACAACATGAACCACAGAGAGGATCCTTTCAGTCAGGTGACTCTGTTCCTCTTTCTGTCTCGCAGCTGAAGTGACAATTTTAAAGCGATTTTCATCCAGTTTTAAAACCTTCTGGTCGTTAAATGTTTGAAGTCAGCAGATAATTATCTCTAAAACTTTCCGAACTTTCAGTTTTCTCTGCTCGGTTTGCTCTGAAAGTTTCAGTGATGATCAGAAAATGGAGAGAAAAAACCCGAGACAGAAACGAGTTTATTGGACTTATTTAGTGGTTTCAACCCGAAGCAGCTGCAGAGAGGACGGTTTCCTCTGAGGAAGTGTGAGCTCTCTCTCTCTCTCTCACACACACACACACACACACACACACACACACACACACACACACACACAGACACACACACACACACACACCACACACACACACACACACACACACACACACACACTCATCGAACGCTCAAACAAAGAGTCAAATCAGATCTTTGAGTTTTTCTGGACGTGAATGTTGCAGTTGCTGTAGAAAAGCAGAAGAGCTTCAGGCTGGAAACAGGAACCAACCAAATGCTTTGAATGTTTTCTGCAAACAGAAACAACTGAAGCTCCTGCTGAGGCACCTTCACCTACAGCTCTGTGACCTTCAGCACTCAGGAAGGTCAACCTGTGACCTGCTGCCCTACAGGCACAAATAAAACCACCAGAATGAGAACAAACATTGTTTTTCTGCAGATTGAAGGTTTCTACTTCATCTGGTTATTAGATGATCCACTATTTTGCTTTTGCTGATTCTTGTTCTGGTTTTACTGCGGTTGAGCTAATAGTTTGACTTTATCTGATCATTTAAATCTATGTTTCTCCTTAAAACATCATATTATTCACTTTTATTCCTGAGAAATTTTCTGCCTCCGTTTGTAAAGCCGACGAAACTACAGCAGATAAACGAAAATAAAAATACTTTTAAGTTTAAATATGTAAACATGTTAAATTAATTTACGAAAAGGAGAAATCAGCAGGTCAGAGAAACATAAGAGAAACTAAATCATTTATCAGAAGTTTTCAGTTTGAGCAGTAAAGCGTCAACGCGCTCTTGACGTTATGAAGATGTAATTTATCGTTTCATTTGGAGGTTTTATGGGTTTTTGTTCCGGTTTCAGTGAGTCAGTGAAGCTAACGCCGTTAGCGCAGCGTTAGCTTCCTAACACGTGCTGCTGCTAGTTTACAGGGTTAATCGACATGTTGGTTTAGTTTCCTCACCCTGACTGTTGGTGTTTGCAGCCCTTTCAGCCAGCTGAGCAGCAGTGTGCAGCAGCAACAGAGGAAGAGTCGAGTTAGACTCCAGGTCTGTCCTGGCGACTCGTTGAAACTTCCTGCCCTTTAGCGTAGATTTCCTCCTATTAGGAAAATAGGAAATGTTTTTTGTGATATTTACTTTGATTAGGCCATGTTGGAGGGATCCAGCAGGTTAAATATGCAGAATGAAGACTTTAAAAACTGACCAGATGTGAAATTTATTGTTTTAAAATCTTTATTTTTGTTCAGCTCTCCTTTAATCATAATTTATGGTGTTTGAAACGCTGATGTTTAATATTCATCCTGCAGCTGCAGCTCAAACCTCTGATAGTTTGATCAGTTGAACTTATCAGTGATTTTTCTGTTTGGCTTCCAGACGAATTCAAGTGATGAATTCAACATTTCATGATCGAAATGAAGCTGGCAGCAGATCAGCTCTGATAAAATATGAAATATATGAAACTGATTAGATCAGCTCTAAAACTTCAGTTCAGCTGGATTTTAAATTCTCTAAAGGAGACGTTACATTACAAACATTACAAACGTTTTACTTTGACTTTCCAAAGTGATTTTGTCAGCAGCGCTGCAGCAGCGCTTCATGCATCGCTGCAGCAGCGCTTCATGCATCGCTGCAGCGGAGCTTCGTGCGTCGCTGCAGCGGAGCTTCGTGCATCGCTGCAGCGCTGCAAGCAACACCCTGAAGCTGGTTCTGAAACTGCCTCATCCACCCTGAACTCATCGCCGCTCAAAAAGGAACTGATGCAAATTCGCAGAATTTGCTGAAGCAGCTCGTTTTCGCATTCAGGCGGAAAATTCAAGAGTTCTCCTGACAACGAATGAAGGTTCAGTTATCAATAAAACCTTTAAATATTAGTTATAACATATAAATTAAAATGTTCATATTTAGGTCTTGGTCATCCTACTGAGCAAAAAACATAAGAATGAAAGTTGTGGGTTGAGTTTCAGCTTCCTCCTTCTAAATGTTGACGTGCCTCTGAGCAAGGCACTAAATCTCAGGCCGCCTGCCAAGCCGAGCGCATGAGCGAAAAACTGATTAGAAAAATATCATTTATTCAGGATTAAAACAGACGGAAAGATAAAAGCTGCAGACGATTTGTGTTGCTGAATCGTTTTAACGCTGAAAGGCTCCGTTCCTCTGAGGTTGAAACTTTTTCTGCCTGGAAAGCCAAAAAGTTTAAATTAATGTCACCAATTAGTTCAGTAAACATGTCGTCCTGCTAAGACGCCTTAATGAACCTGAACCTTCATGAAGATCAGATCAAATCTCATACTTATTTAAAAATGATCCAGAAGAAATTCATGAATGTGAAAAAGCATTGAGGGTGATTGACAGCGCTCAGCCCCGCCTCCTGGCTCTGATTGGCTGTTTCTGACCGTTTGCTGTTTCACAGATTATTTGTCTCATATTTTACTGTCTAAACATGGAGACAACTTTAATAAAAATGTGTTTCTATAAAAGTTACATTCTGCAACTTTAATTTTTGTTTTGTGGCCTGCTGATGAAACGATGAATTTGGAATAATATCTGTAATGATTTGTGAAGTGTCTAACTTGTGTTGGACTGTTTTCGCTCTCCATGATGTTTGTCCCTCGTTAAAATCAGATCTGCTGTTGATTCGATTCTTTCTGAGAAATGATTTCTTTTCAGTCCAACACTTAAGAAATGTTAACGGCATCATGGAGGAACTTCTTAAAGAGACAGAAACCAAATTTCAAGGCATCAAATTGTAAATTTATATTTCTTTGAAATCATGTTTGAATTTTGAGCTTTTTCATAAAAACTGAAGGTAAAATGGTTTCTGAATTGGGCCTGGAAAACATCAAACTTGGACTTTCATTTAATCAATTAATGACAGTTTTGATCCCATTTTCTGTTTTTCTGTACCGATGATCAGAGCTGGAACCTTTGTGTTCCTGGTACGGCTGTAAATCTGACACAAGCTGCGTTCGCTAACAGCAGCAAGAAAAAGCCGTTTCTCTCTGATTGGACGCTGGAAACGATTATTGCTGTGTTCAGGTTCTGCTACTGACGGTGAAGCTATGCTAGCCTAAAATAGCATCTCAACGCTAACATGTAGCAGCTAATGCTAATGTCAGCGACCATAAAGAATCTCCATGAATGATCAGGACTTCCTGAAACTCTTTGCTCCAATCTGATGGCTGCAGATTAAAACTATAAATATATTTGTTATTAAGCTCACGTCTAGTTTTTCAATAATTTATCAGCGAAAAAGTTTTCTGATTTGAAATGTTGCTTTTGTCAATTAAAATGTATTTACGTAAAAACAAACGTTATATTTTATGTTCACTTTGTTTTCATGCTTTTTTCATCCTGAACATTTTCTGCCAGAGTGAAAATGATTTTATTTTGAAATGATTGTTTTCAAAGATCCAAGGAGTTTCATGTTTTCATATTTTTTAGAAGTAAAGCACAGTTTTAACATCCTGTTTATGATGAACCCAAAGCGCTAATATTCTGATGTAACTGTTAGTTTTTGTTCTGCTGTTTCTCTCCAAACAGGAACACGGTTTGGTAAAAATAGAAACAGATTTAGAGGAAAACATGTTTTATTACAGTGACGTCGTAAATGACTGTAAATCATTTATCTGAGTCACTGCAAAAAATACAGAAGAGTCATTGTTTCCTAAACCGCAGTTTAAATGTAAACGGTAAAAAAAGAAATCCATTGAGTTGTTTCAGGAAGCGGCGCTGCGCTCTCACTCTCTTTACAAACACTTTCTGTTCCTCAGCTCACAAAAATAAAGTTTTATTTTAAAAAGGAACTGCAAAAAACCAGAATCTGACCGTAAAGTTGATCAGTTTCCATCTTATGTGGATTATTTTTTATAACTTCATCTTTGAAAATAATCTTCAGAAATAAACTCAGGTTTCCCTGAAGGAACCTGGAACTGAAACTTTTTGCTTTTCTGTTTTATAACCCAAAAATGTTAAAAATGACTTTTTTAGAAATTAGATTTGACCAAACTAAAGACTAAAGAACACGAAGTTGACATTGGCTCATTATTAACTCTGACAACGTTTTCAGTTTGTCTTCACAAGAAATACTTCAGGAGTTCATTTCATTCTGTAGATTTCAGGCACCAACGAATTTAATATTTTTAATAAAAATGTGTTCAAATTTCCATTTTATTCAACATTTTGTTGCATTTGAGAACTTTATCTTATTTGTGTAAAAATCAGATTTTCTGTCAAACAAACTGAAAGATCAGATTTAAATGCAACTTTTTTCATCCGTCAAGTTTTTCAGCTCAGAAAACCTGAAGAAAAGCAGCTCAGCAAAACATGATGAGACTTCTGCAGAGCGCCGCGCGGATTTCTGCTTCACCTCTTTAACCTACTTTGTGTGACGCACGCACACACACACACACACACACACACACACACACACACACACACACACACATACACACACACACACGCACACACACACACCCCACACACACACACACACACCCACACACACACACCCCACACACACACACACACACCTTGCACTGAGGAAGTCGGCGCTGCAGGTTTGGGTTTTCTGTTTGCATTTCTGAATCCATCGTTTTAAAACCGTTCGGCTCGTTTGGATCAGCAACACGATTTGCAATTCAAACCAGATCATTTTAATTCTGCATGAGTCGCTTTGCATGTTTGTATTTACAGAC